CCAGTTAGTTAGAATGGACAATAACTGCGAAGGGTTCGTTCGCTTGTGTGCTCCAGCATATTCTGCAGACACAATGAAGGTTTGCTTCGAGCAGGAGAGGGGAATAGGAATAGCAGGATCAGTCGGCGAATCATTTGTAACCGAACGTCTTTCGCTAGACCGGTATATGTGCAGCAAACTATGTGACTCACATTCTGTCTTCGCTCATTTTGGCGGCAATTCTATTGAGATACGGGAGCACCAAATACCTCTCTGCTGAAAGACAACTTTTTCTGGGCTTTCCTTGCTGAAGCACAGTGATGTGGAATGTTTTCGAAACGAAAGATTCCCTCAGGACATTGGAAATGTCGGTCTGAGGTACTAGGTTTATATTGTAGTTATACTGCGACAAGTGAAAAGAATTATTCGTGAATTTGATTGTAGATGAGATTGTAAAAATAGATTTGATGCACAACTACTAGCGACTGACCTGAACGGTCGGAACACTAGACCCGAAAGATATTAGAATAACGCCTCTGCGATCGTGACGCTCCATAATCAGACGAAACTTCTGGAAAGACCTGCTTGAAAGTGAAAAAAAAATATTTTTTAAAAGTAGCTTCAGGCCAACCTCTTCCAATGTGGCTGTTTTCGGCAATGTTATACCACCAATATGAACGAGTTTATCAGATTTTGGCCATGAAAAATCCAGAAACTCGTCTGAGTTAGATAAGACGTAATTTATACGAGCAGAAATAAATTCGCGAAGGCCAGAGTAAAGGCCATACTTCGTGAATATTCTCTGAAACATTGACTATTCTGAAAAGCCAAGTCAAAAGCTACTCCTAGGGTCCAATTACCTACTTCGTATCTGAACCTGATAAGTTGAGATGCCATTGAAACACCACCATGTAGGAAAAAGTTAACGAAACGCTGCTGGAAGCTCATGTCTTCTCCATAAGATGAGAGAAAGGCTGAAACAATGATATTGGTTTTTTTCGCCTCATTACTCATGCTGGCCTTCACGTCAGGAATAGCTGTAGGAATCACAGCTGGTTCACTCTCCTGTGAGGCTGTAGTAAATTGAAATTCGATCTACTAGAAGGAAGCATCAACTACTAGAAATGCAGCGAACCTCACCCACCACCTTCCGAAGAGGAAGTCTTGTAAAATGAAATCCTTTGTGCATGCTTAACTAAGGATAATCAAGGGCAGAGAACAGAATTTCACTTACAAGGCATAAAGCTCGGCATTAAGGGCACGTCAATGAATTCGTTCATGGTGTCAACCACTCCGACAGCTGAGGCGCCCACCAAATTGGGAATGTTTGCCAACTAAAACAGCATCTTTCGACTTATAATTAGATCATCGTCCAAAGATCGCGGAAGATTAGCTCCTATAGGACCTCGAAGATCCCGAATCCACACAATGCAAATATTTCAGAGATTCCAACATCGAATTTTTCGTCCCGCAACAGATTAATGGTGTTATTGTCACGAAGGAGATCTGAAAAGACAATATCAAAGACATGAATCCGAAAAAGTTTGGGGATTGATTTTTGAACTAGAGCTTTTGCTGAAGCCGTTTGAAGAGCACTACCATTCTGCGCCGACTTTTTAGAGGCATTGTCTACGAATAAAAGACCAAGTCGTCTGCGTCTAATCAACTCCTCTCTGAGATACGACTCCCTACGGCCGAGTGGCAAGTCAATTCTTTTGTCCTCTCTAAAGAGTTACATTCTAATTGACTGATCGCAAAGGGATGGCATGCTTGCTTGGTCGGGGCAGGTAACGATCCGAGATTCGATTTCGGAAAAAAATACAAGATCGGGTCATTAGCACTGAGTTGTTGTACACCTGCTGACCAATGCAAAACACTGGTATTATATCAGCCAAACACGCGCTGAAACCACCAGTACGACATAAATGGAAATCGAATGGGAAGGCTTGTGAAAAATGAGATGTTATAACAAAGTGACCTCTGGTACACTCAATAACGCTGATGGCTGATTTACACACTTGAAGAAAACTATGAGAATATCGACATGGCGGATAATTCCAGGACGAATTTCTCTACAAAGTAAAAATACTCTGTGCACACAGCGTGGAATAGTTCGGCAATGTTTCGTACGTACTGTTCCAGTGTAACAACGAGCAGAATCGCAAGCTTTCATTAGCTGTTGCCTACCTGTCATTATGTGTTTCTCGGATTATTTCTGACCAGTTCCTGATCTCTACTTTCTCATCAACACAAAGTGCTATCATAATCATTCGCCATAAAGCATCGTTAAAAATTGTGCTTACATTCACACATTTCCAGTTGTGATTCCGTAAACGTCATGACAATACTCATTCGATCTATGACGGAATCGCTGGCCAAATTCCATAATCCCATTTCTTTTGCGTCGTGATGACGGTAGTGTGACTTCGGAAGATGGATGAGCAGCTGTAATCTTGTTATAATGTAACATGATTATATAGAACGGGAAGCTGCGACATCCTTAAGGAGCCACTAAATGCTGCCCTGTAAGTGTATGCGTTTCCACTTTACCGTTCGTAACGTTTCGAAACACGAACTTTTCTTCTGTGACTAACTAACGAACTTTCTTCTTTTCTTCTTTTTCCTCTGTGAACGCCTCTCAAAAAATGTGATGAAGGAGCAAGTATCAATTGTCTAGGCAAATTGTGAAATACTCCAATGAAATACTTCAAAAGAATTTTCCTTTTTTCAGGTCACCTCTTCAACCTTTAATCTGTCTGGATTATCAATTTTTCAACGCAACAACTTGCATAATAGCAAATATAACAATATGACATCAATACCTGGGTATGTTTTTCATGCGGTCTTTAGTTGAAGGAACCTTTCGTGCTCATTGCGAGCTCTATAGCCTCTAACGTGACATTCGAATTGTGGGTGTGCCATGGGACCAACACCAGAGGACTGCGACGGCCACGGCAGCAGAGAACGTTGCTCGGTGAGCAGCTTCAATTTGTGCTTCGGTTTATAGTCCTGTTCGAAATGAAGCACTGTGGGCACTACTGCGAGCAAGCGACCAGACAAAGTCTTCATGATTTTGAGGTATATCTTTGAATTCATCTTACCATCGATCCTGTCAAAGAAACCAGTTTCTTCGTTGCAGGAGCTGCCGTTAACCAGCAATGAAACCCTCACTGCTTTTCAAAATCGACAGCTGGCAAATGAATGGTATCTGGTATCGATAGAATGTCGCAAAATGTCCACCACGCCAGATGGCCTACGCCACTGCTGGACGATTTAGCTCTTGTCAGCATGAGCCCAGTCGAGACGTGGTCTGTGATTCTTATAAGGAATCAACGAAATCTTCACTGCACGATGTCCAGACGATCGCCCCCTCTCAGACGATCATGCGATTTGTGAAAAATCTCGGCTGCACTAAGAAGCGGGTCATTCCTTCTAAGCTGCACAATGTTTCTGTCGGCAAAACAGCTGTCATTATTACTGCTCCTAGTTGCCTTTTGACTTCAACCAACCCTTGTATTTCTTCCATGAACGCGTTTAACCAACGACCCTAAAACTTCGGAAACTCGAAATGATGTCGAACCTTGGGGAAAACTGAAGGCTTCAACTCGGTCTTGAAACAAATTACGAATTCTCGAATGCAAGTGCATAGCCTTGATAATGTACTAGGTATTTAACGTGACACAAAACAGCAAGAAACACAGGAAATTTCCCACGTAAGACCCACCGGTAATCGAAAATTAAAGGGTGCTTTGGTCGACGTTTCAAGAATCAAGTAGCAGTTGTGGTCAGAAGAGTGCCTCCAGAGGGTTACACTATGTAGTATGGTGCTGCTCACTGTTCAGGTGTCCTACTGTTTGGGCCTCCGGCAGAAAGTGACTTTTGAAAACGTGAACTCGCATACTTAACTGGAAGGCAGTGTAAGTGTAGCATTAAATGAAGATTATAATGCGTTGAAAGTATTTGAATATTTCATAAATAATACCATTATTCGAACAAATTTTCCCATTGCGGTTTACGATTTGCGACCACTTCGACTACTACAAAACAACTTTTCCCGCTCTGTGTGTACTTGCTGCTAATTTTGATTTTCGGACTTGTGGAGTGGCATGGTGTTCAAGAAAAACGAGAATCACCGTCCAACTGTTTTGCATCGGTAATGCGGCCATATAACAGCAGTAAACAAAACTGTCAAGTGAAAGCTGACTTAATACTATTTTTTGAAAATCAACCAGTGATATACCTTACCCTTTACTCACTTCTCTCCTAAATATCACACCCAGCGAGCTCTCTCTTTTTATTTGAACTGGTCCTCAGAGATTGAAAGCTTAGACATCATCACTATACATAAGGCGCTTGCGTCTGTTAGTGACGTGCGATTCCATCGCTGAGGCCAAATTTTGAAGCATTTCGAATACTAGCTGAATAAATTGAGTACATTTCGTGTTCATCGCACTAACAAACACATTGAAAAATGAAAGAAATTATTAAAGCTTGAAAGCGGAGGGAAACTGAAAGCAAAGTAAGCTTGCATACGAACAAAAATCTTGATTATCCTAAAGTAAAAGCTCTGCTTTTTACATAAATTCTCGTTCTAGAGTGTCGCTGTATGCTCACGAATACAAGTGTAAATCTCCATCGCAATAGTTGCACGTTGCGCTGCTTTTATGCCGTAACCTCATTACAGTAGCGCTCAAAAGTCTTCGACCAAACGCTTTTTCTTTTGTAGCTTTTTTTCTTAGTGAAGCAAATCGCGCGAAACTCAGATATGTATAACTAAAGCATATTTCGCATTATCCAACACTATTTGAGTGCAAAGCAGCAAACTCCACATAACTAAGAGCAAAGTGTTTGTTACGGTAGTATACCATGCTGGAAGCAAGGTTGGCAACGTCTGCAATTATTCGCACCTCGTGTGCGTTTTTCTCCTTCTATGTTCGTCATTAGCGCTCTTACACTTTGGACATGGCATAAGGAGGAGAAATTCCAGAAGGACCATATCCGCATTTACAGTTGATTTTGAGTTCAAGCGCTTAGCAATATGTAGAACACGATTAGATTGCAGGATAATAGCGGTTAATATTCATAGTACATCCATGCTGTGAAATTTTGCACGATTACATCCAGTAGAAAGAGGTTACGACCAAAAATTACGGCTGAAAATGCATTCGGCAGAAGACTTTTGGGCGCTAGTTTATATCAGCGATAGGATCGCAGCACACTTCGCGTCCGTCTTTCTCTCTGTCGCGAGGCTCAATAATGCCTTGACACGCTGACAACAACGCGCGTTTAGATAATTTTTAACGTGGGACCGACACATTTTTGCGGTCGCGTCGACCGCGGGACACATACTCCCTTCATTGTCTCTTGAGGCGCGCCTTTCGATGCTTGAAGGTGAAATCTACTTCTAACTACTTGACGGAGGCGGCTACGTATAAAATTGATCAATATAATGAAACCACAAGAGTTTTCTACATAAAGAATATTCCGCTTCAACGAACGATTACATAGATATACAAATGGTTGGGAAAGAAGAAAACCTGGAAGATACATTACAACTCGATCATCTTCTGACAGTTTCGGTCGACGAAGAGCAAGGAGCTACTGAAGAGAAGTAGACGATCTGGAAGAAGATACGGAAATGGAACCTGAATCAGAAAAAGGAAAATCTGATCCAAAGTGGTCAAGCCATGCGGCGCCGCAAGATGCTTGGACTTTTGGTGGTGTCTCCGGTTTACATGGTGCTGTTCATGACTGCAAACAGCCAACAGACTTCTACGAACTGTTTCTTAATCAAGGGGTTTAAGATTTTATCGTTAGAGAAACTAATCGCTACGGGATTCGACAAATTGAAGGATTTTAAGCAACCGGCGTCGATGAAATAAGGGAATTCATTGGTTTGTGCTTGCAGATGGGTCTGGTAAAGATGCCAAACGTACGAGATTGTTGAAGGTCGCGACCTCGTCTCGGTGGCCAAGCTGGCAAGATTATGAGAAGAACCAGGCTTGAAGAGTTGTCGAATTATCTACATTTAGGAGACAATTGTTGTTTTAACGGCCGACTACACAAAATGTTGAAGTTTGCGGAAAAGCACAACAAGCTGCGGCTGAATGCTACTCACCAGAAGGAGAACTCTCCATCGTTGAATCGCTCAATCCATTTCGAGGGGGAATCGTTTTTAGATAATACTTACCGGCTAAGTGACATCGATACGGCATCATAATATTCAAGCTGTGCAGCAAGGATTCATAGTAAGGATAAGAATCTAAGTTGGTAGAGACCCGTCAAGTGAAGATCCACTCGCCAACAAAGTCGCTATGCAGGTAATGGAAGGTTTTCTTGATGGAGGACGCATTCTATGCACAGACAACTACTCTAGTATCGGTTTTGCGGAGAAGCTGATTCCAAGACGAACCCATCTAGTTGGCACCTTGAGAAGGAACAGGAAAGAGATCCCGAAAAAGATCAATGATAAAAAATTGAGGGGAGGTAAGATATGCTACAAACAGAGACATAATGGCATTTTGGTGCTCAAATGGAGAGACAAAAGAGACTTGTACAACATCTCTACAAA